GTACCAAGGTATAAATTTTCGTAGGAAGCCTATCATACCGATATATGTTTCCAGATTATCTAATGAATCTAGCATCTTGATTTGCCGAATTATTATAATATAGTCGTTTATAGTAGATAGACCGAAAGCGTCGACCTTAAATCCCAACAGACGGATAGATAGGAAACTATAGAAAGATTTCTTTAGCGATAATATAAGTCGAATACTCTCAAATAAATGTAGAACTTCTCTAATATAGTAAAGATAATCTTCTATAGTATTGCTAAAGATCATGATATCGTCGATATACACTCTAGCGAAATGACAAAAAGGGAATAGCTTACGATCTATAAAGTGTTATATATAAGCTGGCAAATTCTTAAAACCTATAAGAGCTATATTCGACATCTTAAGTCCTCTGTGAGTGACGACGACTATCCGATTATAGTGACGATTATATACCGACAATTGGTGAAAGAAAGTAGATATGTCGAACGCTAAGAGATAACGCTTTCCTATGACTGTATTGATGACGTCTTCCTGACAAGGTATCAGGTAAGCGTCTAGCAAAGTAAGCTTATTTAGTCCGTAAAGATCAATCACTATATAGCCTTTTCGTTTAGCGTCTAGGACACAATAAACGACGAAAACGAAAAAGCTGAATAGTGTTAGCTTATTAAGGAAGGTAAATTTACCCTTCTGTTGTATATTGTCAAACGTTTCGTCTACCAACTTAGCATCCTTTAGGCCGAGTTTATAAGGTTAAGCGTTAGTCTTCTGATTTTGCCATCTGTCGATAAGATCAATATATATATATTCGTCATTCAAAATATCGACCATTCCTCTTTCCTTCCAGACCTTGTACTTTTCCAGCAAACGCTTTAGTTTGGTGGCAAAAATCGGGTCCGAAGCGTAAATATGTACTTCGTCCTTTGTCAGAGTTTCTAGAATGTCGGATGGCTAAGCGATTCCTAATGATTTAAAAAATGTTTCTCTCAACTTATATAGGTTAGGAGGTAGATTTGTTTCTATCTTGTCAGGCGTTATCGAAGAGACATTCTATACGTTAAAAATATCATCGACTATATCTTCCGATTATAATACTCGCTCAATTACTTTGATAACATCGAATTCTACTAATATATCTATTGATACCAATAAATAGGTTATGTTCGCCTATTCCCATAAGATCTACTAACAATTGTCAGCATCGACATCATATACAACTGCCAGATGTTGATGTTTATATAGGATCATCAGATTGTTTGTTTTATTGACGACTTAGAGTACCTTCAGTATATCTAAGTTCGTAAGGTGAGAAATACCTTTAGTGACGGACGGTAATATAAGGAAATCCCTGCTGGCCCCATCGTTATATATAAGGGGTAATTCTATATAACAGACTTATATGATGGCTATAGTCTTTAGCAGAATAACCGTATGGCGGAAATTTGAAACCTTACAGCAAATAGGTTTAGCCTTTTGTTTGATGCGAAATGAAACCTATATACCTTAGTATAAGTCTAACCTAATTCGATGGTTGAGGTAATTGATGATAGCATCATTGTCTGCCAACTAATTTGAGCCTAAAAGCATTTTTAGCTTAAGATCCAGCGTCAGAAGTGTGTCCGCCAAATATTCGCCGATTATCTCTCGTCCTTTGATATCGTCTTTCGAGAATATAAGGATCAGTGTAGTTTTATAGAGTTTGAGTAAAGTTCTGACGCTATTCATAACCTTAGGTTCGCTAGACCTTATATCTACGTCCGGATATCTGGCTTATAGCTATCTTTCGTCTACCATAATATTAGAACATCCTATATCAGTATAGACTTCTTCTATAGGACTATCTGATAAAGTGTAGATGAATATTCGAAGATATATATTATAAGATATAGTCTTATCGACGGCTGAAGGTATAGGATATATACGAATGACTTCTATGTTTCCAACGAAATTAGCTAACGATATCCTTCCACCTATCTCACACACAGATAGAGGCTTACATTCTATATTCTTCTTCATTGGTTCGTTTGGCCTCCAACCTTTAGGTTTAGGTAGGATATATATGTTCGTAAATATATACTAGAATAATATAGCTCTCTTAGGAAAAGTCTTCTAACATTTACGGCAAGCGAAAGCTTTGCTTTCGACGGTGATAGATGCTAAAATAGGTACGGAAGATAGTATAAAAGAAGAAAAGTAAGAGGATAAAGTCTTAGAATTATTATCTAATGCTATAATATCATTATTATCTACAAAGTAACCATCTTAATCTTCTTCGTCAGTATATTCATCAGCCAAAAGATATCCATCTGCCTTTAGATTCTACTTAGTCTTAAAGCGATTTTCATCATTGTTAGCGACATAGTATTCTTCTGCCAGATATATAGCATCGTATAGGTTGAGCTTAACCTATCGATGCTAGCGATATCTATACTAACGTCTGTTATAGCCTCTCCAAGAATTATATCCTCTAAAGTTTCTACGATTACCTTCGCAAAAATAGCCGTAAGTTCTGCCACGGTAGTTGTTACGATAACCTCTATAGTAGTTAGACAATCGGTCGCTAAAACCTTACGATAGATAACTACCATATCCTCTACAGCCACATAGGTTAAAGGAACCTTCGTTATTGAAGCGGTGGTTATAGCCATAGTAGGCGTCAATTCCTTCATCGTCATTTGGCTGGTCGTCGACATCTACCTAATAATATGATATACCGACGATAAGAAGATACTGTCTGTCTACATTCGTTGGAAAGGTGTTTACGACACCATCATAGACAGGCTACTAAGGATATTATATGTTTGGCAAAGATTGTCGAATAAGCGATATACTGAAAGATAGCTTCTAAAGCTGTAGATTAGGGTTGACGACCTTACGATAGGCTCTGGCCTTCTGTTTCAAGTGTTCAAGATAGTTTAATATATAGGTGTCGGCCGCCGAAGTAATATAATGTTCGTACAAACGCGTATCAATTCCAATATAGACATAAGTAAGCAATTAGGTTATGTTTGTTATATCAAACGTATATGCTGCTCACACTTTGGCCATAGTATACGACCGAATAGAAGCGCCTTTCTTAATATCGTCTTCAGTATAGACAAAACGTTCGAGATTATAGGCTGCTTCCACTTTAAAGATATAAAAGCACTCTTGAAGAGTATTAGTCTAATTCTAGATATCTAGCTTTAGAAACATACGGTTGGTAACACTCAATTAGCTAGAATACCATACGAAGGTATCGCCTCTTAAAAGCTGATTAAAGTCACAAACAATGATTTCGGCTCGTTCGTTTATGATATTATTATTGTTGATAGCCTTACAAAAAAGATCTATATTATGATAATAGACTTTGTGTCCGACGGTTATAACGTCTCCGACACCAAACTTAAAGTCAAGGTTCGAGTGGAATATACCGATATGATAGAGTTTCCATCCGTGTGTTAAATTGAAGGTACTTATTTAAGTGATTGTATCCAAAAGTCTGGTTATAAACTGAGCGAATAGGGCCTCTAAGCGTCTGGCCATATCGTCGATAACGGTGGCTATAGATTAAGAGACGATATAGATAAGCTTCTTCCGACGTAAGTATTCTATATGCTGTTTGGGAGTCTTATAAATCTTATGTTCCTTTCCGCCATTTTGATTATCGGCTATATTGTCATTGACAATAGTCTTAGGCAAAGCTGGAGATACCGTCGGTGAATATATGAAGCTTAATGATATAGAATCAGGTACCGATTTAGGTACTGACAAAAGTAGAGAGGAAGGGATTGTTTGCATAGATGGAGAGAGGGTGATGACCCTTCCGTCTAGTGATGGCAGCTATATAGATAAACGGAAAATTTGCTCTATACCCAAACCGGACGAGTGCTAGTCTAGTGGTTGTAGAAGGGTATATAGTAACCGAATCTTATTCGTTTGTCTGTCGGAAAAATAAGCAAGTTTTGGTAGGGTTGGCAGGTAGGACTTGCCAAAGTCAAGTGTCAGCATAGGTAGAATGGAAGGTGCCAACCGTAGTTGAATGAGTGACTTAAGGAAAGCGTCAGACAGTTCTTGCCTTATAATCGAAGCTTGAATAGTTTGTATTTGCGATTGTCTATCCGCCTAGCTGTTTTCGGCGGTAGATAGCTATATGCTGTTTGGTGGGAGCGAGCCGCTGCTTTATGTATGAAGAGCCTAGAGAAATGGCTTGATATGATTCTTAAGAATATACGAAAGGTTTTGTTTGACAATGTAAGAATCAAGTAGCCAGCTTTCAGGATAAAGCTTTAAGGTTTGTCTATAGTATATACGATGCTCTCTATAAACACTATATATTATGGTTTGTTCAAGGTATTTTTGTAGATGATGTGAGAGCTTGATGATAAAGTTGTGAAGGCAGCTTTTGTCGGGTAAGGGAAGCTTCTATACGAACGATAACTCTCGATTTTCGTTGAGAAAGATATAAAGTTGATAAGCTAATTCATCCTACTTACCAAGCGTAAGATCTATATGGTATATAAACTGGATCTACAATCTATGAAGTTGATTGATGAATCGGCTTGATAGGATTTTGAGGGTGATTTTGAGGTGACGTTATACCGTATGGAAGGGGAACAAAAAGGTAAACCTATATGACGAACGATCGGCTATACTACCATATAAGGCTTACGTCCGGCAGAATAGGATAGTATCATGGGCTTGACCGGCTATGCTCTACGTAGGCTTCCTGAAGCTGTACTATGCATTCGTGATGTATTGTTGTTCTATGGTGAAGCCATGTCTTTCTGAGAAGTGGTGAGCTAAGTAAGAGCTGGTGTGGGGCTAGTGAAAGGCTTATGTAAGCTACGTCTTCATCCGTCCGTCCTCACAACACTGGTATACTAACCCCGGTTGTGATTGGCTTCCTACTCTTCCCAGTCTTCGTGTTCTGGGAAAGCAAAACCTCCTTACCCATGCTACCACTGCATCTACTCAGAAATCGGACAGTTTGGGCGTGTCTCGGAATCAGCTGCGCCTTCCCATTCGCCTTCATGGTTCACGGCAACTATCTATTCACCTTGCTCTTGGTTTCATACAACTTCTCGATTGAGGGTGCTACTCGCGTGGCGTCACTGTACAGCTTCTGTGCCGTCGTTGTGGGATCCATCCTAGGAGCTGTCGTCATCAAACTTCGCCGTCTGAAACACGTCATCCTGGCAGGCATTCTCCTGTGGTTTGTGGGAGGTGGCCTAATCTACCACTACCGTGGAGGCTCAGGCTCAAAATCCGGCATCATCGGTGGAGAGATCGTCATTGGTACTGCCGCAGGGTTTTTCTCCTGGCCAACTCTAATCATGATTCAAACCGCGGCACGGCACCAGTATGTTGGCGTCCTGATCTCCCTCGTTTTCACTGTCAACTCCATCGGCCAGGCCTTCGGTAACTGCGTCTCTGGCGCAATCTGGTCGCAAAGATTGTTCGACGAGCTCAAGAAAAACCTTGCGCCCTTCAACAATGCAACCCTCGCCTCGTCGGTCTATGCTGCGCCCCTGTTTGTGGTACCGGAGTATGTCATCGGCTCACCTGAGCGAGACGCGATCATTGCCAGTTATCGATACATGCAGCGGATTCTCACAATTACGGCGATCTGCATTGTCGTCGTCATGTTCATTCTTGCTTTATTCCTACACAACCCTTTACTCTCGGGTCAGCAGACTCAGCCGGAAGCTGAGGGCGAGGATGCGGCAGCACAGGCCAGAGAGCTCCAAAAACTTCAAGACGAGGCCAAGTGAAGCAATCCCCAGCTATTTCCGGTTGCCTTTGAACGCCTTGTAATCTCCTTAGTTTTGGAGGGTGGGGAGTGGCTAAGGGCTAGGTGCTCGGTGAATTCCCCGCCCCAGTTGTCCAGACTTGATGGGCTTCTAAACTGCGTTGAGACTGCAACAGGCTCTGGCTAGCAAGGTTTGCAAATACGCCGAGGACTCTGACTGACATAATTGCTATGTGAGTGAAATGTATGGTTCACTGGCTGCGTTACTTATATAAATCTCCATCTACAACTTGACTCGGCTCAAGAACATGTCAAGTGAATTTGTGTGTCTGCGTCGAATATACTTGCACAGATTCTTTCCCGGTCCATCCAGAGATGATGTACGGTTGAAGCATCGGTCTAAATAGTCCTTCAGCAATCTTATCTCCAGGACTTTGAGGATTCTTCTGGGACTTCTACCATTGGAGATGATGTTGTTTTGGTCCTACCTGCCACCTACTCAAGTGGTTCTCTTGCTACCAGATCTACTCCACAAATAGGACCAGAAATACTCGTCTTGTCCAGCTTTCCGAACCAGTAGCCAATCGGGTGTGACAACGTCCACAACCCGAAGGACATTGGGCGCATTCGCTCTAAACTGCGGAAGGACGAGTCTTCAGCAGCCTAAAATTAAGTAGCCACCTTGACATCTCAACGCTTCGTGGACCTATATAGTTGTCACCCGCTCACAAGATGCGGACCCGAAAAGAAGAGCGAATTATGACGCGAGAGGCTGCGTTTTGCGGCCAATGAACCGGAAGAAACAAACTAATCACTGTCACATCTCAACAGGAGGATGTGTTAGAAACGCCTGATGGTATGAAAGCATCGGATCCTAGAAATGCGACAGCCATTCGCGACCACTTTATCAGATGCGTCATGATTGGGGTTGAAGGGATGGCAGCATTGGACTCTCAGATGGTGATAGATGCGAAAGGAGGTGCAAGTAAAATAGACGGGCTCATCTATCAACTAGAAGACATGACCTTGAAGCTGCACAATGGGGACGCCTATCGATGCATGAAATCTATTTCTATGCGTCACTGATATACATACATATCTGGTAATCCACCAAAAACAGCCAGATCGATCAAACTAGATACAGGTCACAATATTGGGCAGCTTGTCCAGGGTCCTCAAGCGTGTTTGAAAGGGCGGTTCCTTCAATATCATTCTTCCATTGGTCAGTGGCCCGGAAGGCATGATGCGCTTGTTTGATCATATTACAAGAAGTCATAAAGTCGAAGTCTTGCGAGGCAGTCTCGCCGTCTGTTGCGTGTTTGCGTATCAAGTCTGCAATCGTGAAATAGCGCCAACGCTCTGCCAGTATGATGGCGCCATCGCATCCTGTTGAACCTGGACTGTGACTACGTGCGTTGTTGTTCAAGAGCAATTTGACCACGTCAAGTCTGCCATAGTCCGCTGCGTAGTCAAGAGCAAGCCAGTGAGCTGAGAAGGTAGAAGATGCATTGACATTGGCTTGGTGTTGCAAAAGCAGATGCACAATGTCTAGATCCCCACGTATTGCGGCACACTGGAGCGCGGTCCATCCGTCTATTTCTGCAGGGGCTGCATTAACGTCGGCGCCTTGTTTGATCAAGAAGCTGACCAGATCGAACTTGCGTTTATGTTCTTCTGCAGACGTGGTAAACCATCTACACGTAGCCTGCAGCGCAGTCATCCCGTTTTCTGAATGCGCCGGTGCATGTATTTCGGCACCTCGCCTGAGCAGCTCGCGGATCAATGACTCATCTCCTTTTGCGGCTGCGGCCTGAAGCGGCGTCAATTTGATCATTTCAGAATATGCGTTGACATCGGCTCCTGCATCAAGAAGCTTGTCAACGAGATCGCGCCTGCCGTTAGAGTAGCAGATGAGGGCGGCGAGTGGAGATCCAGGCGGTTTGATAGATGCGCCCTGTCGGTACAGTGATTCAAAGAGCGCTAATCTAGGGCCTTCCTCCCCACTCGGGGAGAGGCAGCACTCCAACAACGAGCCCGAAGCATTTCGAAGATTGAATCCAGCACCAACGAACAGATGCAGCTTGTCAAGGAACCACTCCTGACCACCAAGGTACCTCACTGCATGTTCCAAGAACTTCAGCGGATCGTCATCCCGCTGGTTGATCCTCAACTTGGCCCCATGATTGATCAAGTACTCAATCATCTCGGGACTTGCCAGTCTTCGTCTAATGTCCGACCAGTAGCTATGCCATTTGTGGAAAGAGAGCTCGGTGCCAGTAGTATATGCCAGAACGCTGAAGCATTCCTGCTTATACCAAATATCAGCATTGATGTCGACGCCAGCTTGCAGGAGGCAATCCGCGGCTGCAAAGTTGCCCCATCTGGCAGCCACGACAAGGGCTTTAGCGCCGGTTTGTGCAATGTCTGATACGTGGCGAAGAAGAATCGCCAGGAGCCACGAGCCCTCTTCTTCTTCTTCCTCCTCTACTTCTTCTCCCGGATCCGGAGCGACTGCCGCAGAAAGAATAGCCTCGTCAACGATCGCTCCTCCTCGTATTAACAGCGAAATCAGTGCTTCAGTGTCCCCTCTCGTTCCATGTTTCTTACGGATAATTTTCATCACAAGGTGCCTCAACAGGAAAGACGAATCCTGTACCAGTGCAGGGAGCGAGACCTCCACCCCATTATCAATCAGCACTTCAATCACTCGCCTGTCCGCTTCACCCCAGTCATTGACAAACTGCTCCGCGAGAACTAGCTGCAAGAACTTTGCTGCATCTCTGGCATTTGTCACCCGTGACTGCATGTATTCATGTAATGTTTCTTTTCCCTGCCTGGCGGCGAGGCAGATTCCATATCTTGTCATGTCGGCTGCCGGCCTGATACTGTGTTCGAGAAGTCTCTCGAAAAGCTCCTCATTCCAGTAGAAACACATCTCTAACAGCGCCGCTCGGTGGCTCTCAAAATTGGTGTACCACGTTTCGAACAAGGCTTGATCATGATAATCATGTATTTCAATTTCCCAAGGCACATCGACTTCAACATTGCTGTCCAGGAACAACTTCAGACCTTTGCTGTGAGCCTCGTTTTCTAGAGTGAAGTTGATCAACCTATGACGGTAAAATAGGCCGGAGACCGACCCTACGATTAGCACTCGTATGAGTGAATAGTAGGGTAATTGAGTTG